GACCTATTGCAGCAAGCAAATCTACTGCCAAGCAACTCGTTTTTTCCTTTTTTCTAATGTTAATGAACATTTACATAGAGTTTGGATTTCCATTCATTCATTGTTGCATTTCTCTCCCTGCCCACTCCTCCCCCGTCCCTAGTTTGCTCTTCTCTTGAAGTATAAGAAAAATTCTTTCATTAGTATTTAATCCCCATTCCCCTCTTCCCCCCTCCCCAGTACACTTCACTACGCAACCTTCATTCTGGACTCTTGTCATAACCATAATACCCAATCATATATAGCTTTTATACTGTTCTCCCCATCTATTTCAATGTAGTATACATAATTTATCCAATTTTTCTCGGTCTCATCCCAACCCTGATGTCAGTCCTGTTCTACAGTTGTGGCACTATGCAGTATTTGTCCTTTTGTGACTGAGATATTTCACTCAGTATAATGTCTTCCAGGGTCATCCATTTTCAATAATACTACATGAGTTCCTTGTTTTTCAATGCAGTGGAGTATTCCATTGTGTGAATATACCAGAGCTTCTCTATACATTTGTTTGTTGATGGGAATTTAGGTTGTTTCCAACTCTTTGCTATTGTGATCAAAGCTGCAATAAACATGGGTGTGCATATATCTTCCTAGGTGGCAGTTATGGTGTCTTTAGGGTATATTCCCAGTAAAGGAATTGTTGGGCCAAGTGGTATTTCTATTTGCAACTTTTTGAGAAAGTGCCATACAGCCTTCCATAGTACATTCAAGCAACTCTTTAAAGCAGTAAAAAATAAGGGAAATGATTTTAAAGACTAAGGAAAGGGTCTGAACTAATCAATGTTTATTTGGATTTCCCCCGCCCTGCACACTTTATATACTTAATATGCATGTGAAAGTTGGACAACAAATAAAAAAATATTAAAGAACTAATATAATTGAATTGTGTTGGAAAGAATATTGAAAATACCTTTTTTCTATGTTTAAGGAGTGCTTCGCTTATTCGTGGCTTCTTTCCATTCCAAATGAAGCTGGAGATTGTCTTTTCCATCTCATTGAAGAATGGAATTGGTATTTGTATTGGGATTGCAATGAACGTGTATATTGCCTTTAGTAGTATTGCCATTTTCACAACATTGAGCCTTCCTATCCATGAGCAAGGGATATTCTTCCACTTCTCCAGGCTTTTTTGTTTGTTTGTTTCTTTCTTTTAATAATGTTTTGCAATTTTCCTTGGATAGATCTTTTGTGCTTCTAGTTATATTTACTCCCAAATATTTAATCTTGTGATTAGCTATTGTGAAGGGTATTGCTTTTCTTAGCTCCAGCTCTGTATTCTCTCTGTCACTGTAGAGAAATCCAACTGATTTTTGCATGTTGATATTGTATCCTGCTACTTTGCTGAATTGGTCAACTATGTCCGATAGTTTTCTTGCTGAGTCTCTAGGGTTTTCTAAGTATACTATCATGTCATCTGCATAGAGGGATAATTTTACTTTCTCTTTGCCAATTTGTATACCTCTAATGTCTTTCTCTTGTCTTATTGCTATCGCTAAGACGCTAAGACTTTCAATACAATATTGAATAAGAGAGGAGATAATGGGCATCCTTGCCTAGTTCCTGTTATTAAAGGGAATGCCTTTAACCACTCTCCAATGAGAATAATGTTAGCTCTCGGGTTTTCATAAGTACTTTTTACTATATTGAAGAAATTCCCCTCCAGTCCTATTTTGTTGAGTGTTTTCATCAGAAAAGGGTGTTGATTTTGTCAAAGACCTTTTCTGGATCAATTGATAGGATCTTGTGGTTCTTGTTCTTTGCTTTGTTAATATGATGAATTACATTAATTGTTTTTCTTATATTGAACCATCCTTGGAATGCCAAAAGAACAAATATATCTTGGGAAAAGTATACCCAGAATGCTTCTTGAAGACAAGGATACTGAAAGTTTACCTCACATACTTTATGGATATTTTCAGAACAGGTCAGTTTCTAGAACAGGACATCATTCTTAGACAAGTAGAGCATCAGAAAGAAGATGACTCTCAATGAAATCAATTGATGAAGTGACTGAATAATAGACTTACATACAGTCGAGGATATGAGAAAGGCACAGAATGGACAATGGGCCAGGACCTGATGGAATACTAATGCAGGGTCGTTTTTAACAGATGTAGTCCAGACATATACACTAGTTTATGCCAATAGATTTGGAAGACAGTAACATGGCCAACGGACTGTATAAGATTCATATTTGTTCTCCTTCCAAAGGTGATCTAACAGAGTTTGGAAAATTATAAAACAATATAATTAATGTTGTTGTTCTTGTTATGTGTCATCAAGTTGCATATGGACAGCAGCTCTGAATCCTGCCCTGTCCTGAGCCTTTCTCCTAATTCTAACACTCAAACCCTCATTGTCCCAGATACCATATCGATCCGTCTCATTGGTGGTCTTCCTCTCCTTAGCTGTTCCTTCACCCTTCCAAGCATGATGTCCTTCTTCAAGGGGACTGGTCTCTCGTGGCCACGTATGCAAAGTATGTGAGATAGAGCTTCAAAATCCTAGCCTCCAGTGAGGAACTTGGTTTCACCCTTTCTAAGATAGACCTATTGTTTTTTTTGGTGGCCCATGGTATACTCAAGGCTCTTTTCCAGCACCACAATTCAAATGTATCAATTCTTCTTCTATCATCCTTAGTCATTGTCTAGCTTTCTGATGCATAGCAAGTAATTATGAAGACCATGGCCTGGATTAGGCACACCTTAGTCTCTAGACTGACATTGTTGCTTTTCAGCACTCTAGAGTGGTCCCTGACAGCAGATTTCTCTAAAGCAGTTTGTCTTTTGATTTCCTGACTGCTGGTGCAAGAGTATTGATTGCAGGGCTGAGTAAGCTATAATTAACAACCTCAATCTCTTCTCCGTCTATCATGGTGTTGCCAAGTGACCCAGGGGTGAGAATCTTTGTCTTCTTGATGTTGAGCTTCAATCCATATTGAAGACTACAGTCCTTGACCTTCTGTGGCATGTGCTCCTGGTCTTCTTCAGTTTCAGTAAGGCTGTGTCATCTGCATAGTATAAGTTGTTGACAGTCTTCCTCTAATCCTGATGCCACATCCCTCCTCATAAAGCCCTGCTTGTAAATGATTTGTTCTGAATATAGACTGAATAGGTATGGAGACAGGATATATTCTTGACAAACTCCTTTCCTGGAGTTTTGTACCATGCAGTGTTTCCCTTCTCTGTTCTGAGGACTGCTTCCTGGTCCAAGTACACATTTTGCATATGTACAATCAAGTGTTCTGGGATTGCCATTTTCCTCAGTCAACCATAATTTGTTGTGATACACACAGTAAAATGTCTTTGCATAGTCGATGAAATACAGATAGACATTTCTCTGGTAATCTTTGCCTTCTGCCAAGATCCATCTGACATTGGCCATAATGTGTCTAGTGCCACAACTTCTTCTAAACCCAGCTTGTATATCTGGTAGTTTTCTTTCAATGTTTTGTTCCAGTTGTTTCTGTATAATCTTCAGCAGTATTTTACTAATGTGTGATAGTGATATTGTTTGATGATTTCCACACTCTGTCAGGTCAGCTTCTTTTGGAATGTGGATAAACAGGGATCTCTTCCATTCAGTTGGCCAAGTAGTAATTAATGTTACATGCTAGCAAAATCTTGCTGAAGATTATTAAAAATCACTAGGAAATGTACACCAACAAGGAACTGCCAGAAATTCAAGCTAGATTCAAAAGAGACAGAGGCACAAGGGATAATTGTTGACATCAGATGGATTGTGGCTGAAAGCAGAGAATATACTAGAAAGATGTTTACTTGTACATAATTGATTATGCAAAGCATTTGACTGGGTACATCACAACAATTTATGGATAACATTGAGAAGAATAGGAATCTCAGAGCACTTAATTGTGCACATCAGAAATACAAACGTAGAACAAGAGCTGGTTTCTGAACAGATCACATTTTACTGTGAGCAAATAGTTTGAGAAGCTAGATTCTATGAAGAAGAAAGTGGCATCAGGATTGGAAGAAGATTCATTAACAATCTTGTTATAAAAATGCCACAAGCTTACTTGCAGAACATGAAGATTTAAAGTATTTACTGCAGAAGATAAAAGACTACAACCTACATATAGATTATATGTCAACATTAAGGAAATAAAAATCGTCACCACCAGCACAAAAGACATCATCATGGTGGTCTAATAATAAGAAGATGTGCTGCAATCCCAATGACACATATGTCAAATCAATCAGCTGCTCTACAGAAGATTGACCTATCTCCTTTCATGTGATTTGTTGTCTCTGAAAAGCCATTGGAGGGTCAGCTTCAGGTCGAGTACTACTTAAAGGCACACAACGACACTTCATTTTATTTAGATCTAAAATCAACTGGGCCAATGGGGGTAGGTGTATCAGGGTCAGTGAGACTGGCTGAGGACAGGGCAGACTTCAGAGCTGTTGTGCATAGAGTTGCGATGAGTCACAGATGACTTGAAGGCACATAACAACAACAATCAACAAGCATGAAAGAAGCTAAGAGTTTAGAAGAGAAATTTGGACACATTTGTTATCCAACTAATAATAAATAAGACAGCAAATATATGTTGTGATTGGCCAGTCAGGGAATTAATATACTGTCACTCTTTAACTTATTAACTCTTTCAGAAATCTAGTTGATGCTAAAGACATTATAAGAAAAAGTAAAAAAGAATAATAGCAAACAACAGCTTTTCAATGAAGTATTATTTACACATATATAATTCTTTATCACATAATCAGAAAAATATCTATATTTTAAAATTATTTCTGAATTCATTTTACTCTATGATGATGTCTGCATTTGCGTAGACATTATAATAGAAATTATTAGATCCTCAAGTAATGAACAATCTTATCATGCAACATCTATAGAGTGTTGGAACTATATCCCTTTCTTTGTCTTATATATCAATAATTGCTTTGTTAAACATCAGTATTACAGATTTTGCTTACTTTACCACAATATTTCCTAAGGATCGTGCTTTCAATTTCTGCATGTTGTCATCCAAAATCATAACTGCAAAGATAAACAGACTAATTAAATAAAAATGCATAATTTAAAACTTGAAATTACTTCCATACTTTCTAAATTAAAGTATCTCCCCCTAAATTAATCTTAACAAGGTATTTTTTTCTGTGAGATCATGAACATAAAATATAAATTACCCAAAATATTTTAATAAGCATAATAAAATGTACAGTGTTGATTTTTGACAATATAAATATTCTTTCTGTAATTTTCTTTAATTTAAAAAATCTATCTCAAATGTGCTGGTAATCTCAAATTAGTCTATGTAAAGGTATCATCCTGTTAAAAGACATCTAAAAAACCCACCTCAAACGTGGCTGAAAAAAAGGAAAAGAAAGAAATAAAGCCTTAAAATGCACATATAGTAATATTGTGAGCAATAAAAATGAAGCTCTTAAAACCTGGAAAATCGACTTATCTCTTAATGCTCACTTAGGGTTCTGAGAGGTCAATTTAATCTGCCTAAATATTATCCCAATATTTTCTGTGGTACACTGAAAAAATCCTGAGACACTTTAAGAGGTCAAAGTTTGTATCTACATTCAATATTTTTGGTACATAGTGAATATGAAGATAAATAATCTTACTCCAATCTCTAATACAGGAGCTCTGGTGGCTTAGTGGTAAAGAGTTGTGCTGCTAAACCAAAGGCATGTGGTTTGAATTCACCAGCTGCTCTGCAGGAGAAAGATGGGCAATCTCCTCTTTCCGGGTGATTTACAGCTTCTGAAAACATGCCGGAGGGTCAGCTATGAGTCAGTTCCAACCCAAAGTACAAACCAACAATTTTATTTTTTAGGGTTGTTGTTTCTTTTAACTTTATAATTACAGCTTTGGGAAACAAATTCATTCATAGCAAATGAGTCCCTGATATAGTGTCCCTTACGATAGCTTCTCTTTGGTCTGAATGGTTACTGGTATTTATTGATTTCTCTTTTTAACTGAGATTTTAAATGAAAGTTTATAGAGAATTTAGATTTCCATTAATTCATTGTTGCAGATTTTCCTCCCTGCACACCAACCCCAATTCACTTTTCTCTTTGCAAAAAAAAAAAAAATCTTTCATTGTATAATTTTCCACCCCCCCCCCCAGCCCATTTTTTCAACAAATAAATGGATAGAGAAGCTGTGGTATATTCACCCAACAGAATACTATATACAGCACTGAAAAACAAGGAACTCATGAAATATTATATAAAATGGGTGCCTCTGGAGGACATTATGCTGAGTGAAATATCTCAGTCACAAAAGGACAAATATTGCATAATTCCACTGTTATAATACAAGACATTGGGGTTGGAGGGAAACTTAGAAAACAAGAACAATTTCTAGGAGATCCTGTGTATAATTCAGGTAATTCTAGAAGCTATGGAGAGGTTGAAAGCAAACAAACAAAAAATAGAACAGAAAGCAGGGACACTATGTCATAGAAAAAATTATTTTGTTCTATTCTTTATAATTCAGAATTTTTTATTTTAAATCTTTATTTTGAGCTTTATCTGTATGAGATCAAATTGAAAACCAAAAGATTTTGTAGGAAACTTAGGAAGCAGAGGATTTATTTTCATGAAGGAAGTTCTAAGAAAAGGAGCATGAGAATGTTATATAACTTGAAGAATCTAATAACCAATGTCACCACATTGTACATGTAGAAACTAATAAATTGGCATGCATTTATTTGACTGTGTACATTCTCAAGAATGAACACTTTTGTATTTAAAAAAAAAAAATAAAATCCCTAAAGCCTATCTATTTTTATTTAATATTAGAAACGTAGAATATGTCTCTCCTTATATTATGAGTTCTTTATAGATGGAAACCCAAATCCACTGCCTTAGAGCCAATTGTGACTGAGACCCTCCAATGTCATAAACCTTATAAGAGCAGACAGCCTCATTCACCTTGTTATAAGAGTAGACAGCCTTGTTCACCTCTGGAGAGGCTGCTGGCTTCCAATCTTGCCATCAATAGCACAACACGTAAAATGTACTATAAAGAGGCCAGACCTAATTAATATCTTTTTTCCCCTCCACATCTCAGTAGAGTGACTAACTTACCGACCATGTGATCCTAAATAACTTCTAAATTTACCTGTATTAAGAAATAGGGATAATTCTTTTCTAATTGTACTGATAGAAGAATTACTTGGGGTAAGATGTACATAAAGTGGAATTCATGCAAAAATAATCAGTGAGTGTGAAGATAAATGTCATGTTATGTTGAATGTTTTTCATACAATATTTTTCTGAAAAGCTTAGCATTACTACTCATAAATTAATATGTAATTATGGCTATATCACAGGTACATCATCAAATGTGTAGGTTTTTTATTTGTTTTCTAAATGACTTATGGAAGTATGACTCATTTGATTATAATTTCATTCTAATATCAGGAGATGAATTGCATTGGGAAAGTCAGCTGTGAGGGACCTCCCAAGAGTACTGAAGAGTAATGACGTCAAGCTGCAGACTAAGGTGCACCTGATCCAGGCTATAGTCTTTGCAATTACGTGCTATGCATTAGAGAGTTGGAGAGTGCATAGGGATGATAGAAAGAGAATTGATGCCTTTGAGCTGTGGTGCAGGAGAAGAGTGTTGAATATGCCAGGAGAACAAACAGGTCTGTCCTAGAGAGGGTGAAGCCAGAATGCTCCTTGGAGTAAAGGATTCTGAAGCTTCGTCTGACATACTTTGGGCATGTTGCAAGGAGGGACTGGTCCTTGGAGAGGGCCACCATGTTTGGCAGAGTGGAGGGACCACGCAGGAGAGGAAGACCCTCGATGAGATGGATTGATTCTGTGAGCGGAGTGGTGGGAATGAGTGTGTCTGAGACAGCGAGGTTGGCACAGGATAGAACGGTGTATAGGGCTTTTGTACATAGGGTCGCTATGAGTTGCAAGTGACTCGATGGCACATAACAATAACAACAACAACAATATTTCATCAGGGCAGTATGTGAGTCAAAGGTTTTCAGACAAGGAGAAACTTCTGTACTGAAGGACTATGTGGAAACAAAGCTTAACTATTTATGATTACAAAAATATTGCTGAAATAACAAATGAAAATGTACTGAACACTTTCCACAAACACTCCTAAAATGTCTCAACACAAAAGCAATTTTCCTGGTAGAAGCAGCAGGAATAGCAAAGCTGTTAAAGTGAAGGATTTCACAAAATCTGGGCTCACCTTTCCATAAAAAGAACTGATGAAGTCACTGACTTCACAGAATACCTATTTCTGCCTTCAAAAACAACCACAAAACTAAGTGTCAATAATAAATGACACATCATTACATAAATAACCTAACTTCAGTGTCTCATTTTCTTTGTGTGAAAAATGAATATATGAATCTACATCAGTTCAGTCCTATGACTTCTCTTTAATACAAGTATCAGTATGAGCTAAGATTTATTTGATTAATTGATTTCTACTCTGGGCAGACATTGATGTAATGCTTCCTTTTGTCACATCACAATAAAGCATTTGAAACACGTTCATTGCTCTGCTGTCAGTGTTATCTTATGGTGTGACACCTTGCTATGATGTTAGTAGCTGTGCCACCAGCATTCCAAATACCAACAGAGTCACCCACAGTCAATAGACTTCAGACTAAGACAGACTAGAAAGAAGGATCTGGTAAAATACTTCTAGAAAACTGGTATCTGAAAACCTTATAAAGATCAGAAGAGCATATTCTGATACAGTGCCAGAAGAAGAGACACTGAGGTTAGAAAAGATTCCAATATAATTGGGAAAGAACTGATTTCTCAAAGTAGAGTTGGTCTTAATGACATACATGGGACCTTCATTTGCTCTTGTGGCACAATTGAAAATAAGAAGAAACAACTGCAAATATGTATTAATAATTAGAACATGAAATGTATAAAGAATGGGACTAGAAAAATTGGAATTTGTAAAATATGAAATGGAACCTTGAAGATAGACATCCAAAACACTGTTGTTGTCGTTAGGTGCTTTCAAGTCAAGGTAGACTCATAGTGACCCTATGAACAACAGATCTGAACTCTGTCCTATCCTATGTCATCCGCATAATTTCTGACAAGCTTAAGTCCATTGCTGTAGTCACTGTATTAATCCATCTAGTTGAGAGTTTTCTTATCTTTCACCTGCTTGTCAACTTTCTAAGCATTATGTCCCTTTCTAAAGAATTGCCTCTCCTAGCAATATGCCCAAAATATATGAGACAAAGTTTTATCACTTTTGCCTCCAAGGAGCATTCTGGCTGTACTTTCTCCAAGCCATAGAGTTTGTTCTCTTGGCAGGCCATGAGATATTCAGTACTACTCTCCAACATCAAAGCTCAAAGGCATCTATTTATTCTCTTGTCACACTTGCTCATTGTCATCTTTCTGATGCACAGCAAACCATTGAAAAGACCACAGCCTGAATCAAGCACATCTTAGTCTTTAATTGATATCACTGCTTCTCAGTAATTTGGAGAGGGTTCATGATAGTTACCCAGTGCATTATGTTTCCAGGTATCCTGATTTCTGCTATCAATGGTGTTGATCGTGATTCTAAGTAAGATGAAATCATTGACAATTTCTATCTTTCTCCGTCTTTTATATGTTGCTTATTGACCCAGTAGTGAAAATTTTTGTTTTCTTGATGTTGATATGAATCCAATTTAAAACTATAGTCTTTAATCTTCTAGAGCAAGTGTTTAAAATCCTCCTCATTTTCAACAAGTAAGGTTGTAACATCTGTATAATGTTTTTGATGATTCTTTCTTAGATTCTGATAGCATAATCTTTATGCAGTTCAGTGTCTTGAATGATTTACTCAGCATACAGACTGAATTAATGTGGACAAAGGATACAACCCTAAAACATACCTTTCCTAGTTTTAAGCCATGCAGTGTTTCTTTGTTCTATTTGGACAATGGCTTCTTGGTATATATATATATATATTTCACATGAGCATATTAAATGTTTTGGGACTATATTCTTCTCAATGTTAGCCATAATTTGTTGTGATCCCCAGAGTCAAATTATTTTGCATAATCAATAAAGCAGCCAGGATCTATAGGATACCAGCAACAATATCCCTTGTGCCACAGCCTCTTTCTTTTAAGTGCAGCTTGAACTTCTGGAAGTTCTCTTTGAATATACTGTTCTTGTGGGTTTTGGACAACCTTCAGCAAAGCATTACCAAGCTGGAATGTGCTGCTATTGGTCTTCTATTCAGAAATACCGTGATGTCAGTGATAGAGCACCTCATTACAAATATCCCTTTTTTCAACAAAATAATATCAACCACATACATGTGGAGCTCACCAGATTGAAAACATAGAAATCGAACGGATTTTATCAGCTTGTAGAAAGAGGTGAACATTTTCGTGTTCATTAATCAGGACAATACCGGGGTCTGACTATGAAACAGAAACAAACTGCTTTTATGTAAATTCAAGGTACATTTAAGGTGATTTGAAAAATAAAATGAACAAGTTCCAAAGTAAGACTTTGAGTATATACCATTATATGTAAGATACCATCTCAAGAATACATGTGAGTCACTAAAAACTAATGTCTAAAAAAAATTAAAATTAAAAAAAGAAAATATCTGAAGAATAGGAATCCCAGAACACTTGACCGTTCTAACGTGGAACCTATACTTGGACCAGGAGGCAGTCATCAGAACAGAGCAAGGAAACACTGCATGGCTCAAAATTGGGAAGGGCATATGCCAGGGATGTGTCCTGGCTCCATACCTTTTCAACCTGTATGCAGAACAGATTATCTGGGAGGCTGGGCTCTATGAGGAGAAATGT